TGGGGACAAGGTCAGAGAGGCCAGATTGAGATGGTTTGGACATGTGCAGAGGAGGGATAGCAGTTATATTGGTAGAAGGATTTTGGAGATGGAGCTGCCAGGCAAGAGGTCAAGAGGAAGGCCAAAGAGGAGATATATGGATGTGCTAAAAGAGGACATGAAGTTAATTGGGCTGAGAGTAGAAGATGCCGAGGACAAAGTTAGGTGGAAACAGATGATTTGCTGTGGCGACCCCTGATGGGAACAGCCGGAAGAAGAAGAAGATTTAAGCCTTTAAACTACTAACTAGTTCAGTTGTTCCCAGATCCAAGTCAGTGTAACGTTAAATGCTATTTGCACATTAGCCATCTCATTGTCTTCATATAGGCTATTAGACGTTAAGGTGCATAATAAATCAAGCCGTATCAATTATGTCCACAACAGTTATATCAATGATAGCTAGCGCTAATGTTAATTATTTACCCCGTTAGCTATTAGCGTAGACAAAATGTAGCCCAATTTTTGTAAATACGTTGTCAGTTATTCCGGATTACAAACAACAGGTCTGCTGCTGTTAACTTAATTCAAACACAAAGGTTACCCGAGGATGTGTTGAGACGTTTGACCTCATGGCTTCTCCACATCCAGCCGTCTCTTCCAACTACTGCACCCAAAATATTCCGCATTCTCCTCGCAGCGACGACCGCTGCAGTTCGGCTACACAGTATCCGGGTGTGCATTGTTAACTATTCTACTGCCATACACAACACAGCATGAAATAAAGGCCACAAACCAACTGTCCGGATATGTTCTAGCCTGCCCTATTCCCATGTCATTATATCAGCTCAATTTTGGAGAGTCGGAAGATAATAACAGGGGGACAATCTGGTCCGGAACTAAAGTCTTCCGTAGTGGTGTGTTGATAACTGCTCCATTCGTTCCGTCAAAGTATCGTAATGCGACTAAAGCAGCTGTTTCCTAAACGCAGTAATATAATCTAATAAATGTTTGAGTAAGTTTACATGCTTTATGTATAAGATATTTTCATTTCTTTAGCCCAGACTTTCTGTCTTTCTGAATGGTGTCAGTCCCCTGTGTTTAGACTGTGTCTGCGTAACTTGTAGGCTATAACAGTGGGGCTAACCCAGCAATCTAACACTAAGCAAAATTAACACTAAAAATGTGATAAAATATGGGCTAGCATAATTTATTGTGTGTCTTGGTGTTGTTCCTCTTTCATACCAGTTTATGATATCAAGTGGCAGGCTTCTAAATTCACATACCTACGCAATGTTTTTTATTCAGTAATCAGTTTATTTAGGCTATCATTTAAATAGCCCACCAATAAATGCTGCCTTACAAAAATGCAGACATATAAAAACTCAAAAATAATATCCGAATTTTAAAAATAATTAAATATGTGTTGGCCTTTGAGTTTAAAGAAAGAGTTCAGTTCAAAGACGGAGTAGCTTGAATAAACTCGTATGACAAGTGACAGGAGGAAAATCTGTGACCAACTGGACTAGGAAAGATAATAAATAAATCGATGACGCAATTGAAACTACACTCAAGAGCACATCACGAGCACGCGCACACATAATTAGCTTCTCCAACTCCCGTAGTGCGTGTGCGGGCTTGACATTTATCACGTGGAGCGCCGAGGCTCTGCAGTTGGAGGAGCACAACGGAGGAAGAGGAGCAGGCGGGAGGAAGGCAGTGGCGCTGATGCGGTCGTGGCGGGGGGATGACAAGGTAAACTGAACCCCTGATATTCAGTGCGCACATGAGTGGTATCAGGGCGGCGAGGCAAGCCGTGAATTCCTCCACCTCCCCCTGATCTCGGTTCTGTTGTCCCCGGAGCGCACAGAGCGGACTGGGACTATGGAGGATGTCTATCACTACAGCCGCAGCCCTGCCTGGGAGGAACTGGTGAGTAGGAATCTGTCACTGGGTACCTTTTATCACTGGGTTTCTCTTTTCATCAAAGTAAGAAAACAACATGCCTTTTATTACAATATACTCACGAGTCTTCAGGTGTACCTGAGTTTGTTCTGACCTTGTCTTACATTGTGGGGGTGTTTCATCCTCTGTAACAGCCCGTGTTCCTATAGACTGTCTTCCATTCTTTTTCCATGTTTTGTGTCGTTGTAAAACCCATTTAAATGCCTGTATATGTTGTCTTGATGCCGTTGTAAGTGTCGGATATTCTACAAACTAACAGAAAAGCACTAGCGGATACATCAGTGACTAAACTGATTTCAGTCCCTTGAGTTTAATAGACAATGTTTTATCTATTCTCAGATTAAAGGGTGTGGGGTCTTCTTTGCTCATTTCAACGTCCAGGGGAGATTTTTGTAGGCTCCTCTGCCCATTTCCTTATCAAACCCACGTCCTACTTGCTCGCAGCATGAGAATGAATTTTAACTCTGTCATGTCAAATGAATCCAGTTATCAACCAGGAGTCAGCCTGGGATAAACAAATCCAATGACAAGACTGAATAGTTAGGAAATAGATTATAATGAGTGTAATGTGACCTTTTGTGGATTATACATCCTCATGTTGTCTAATATTTGATAATGCTATATTGTGAGCGCAGATTTCCACTGATTTGTTATGATATTGTGTATTTTTAGTGGTTGCCGCCTACTTAGCCTACAGTTTTGAGCACCACAGTAGAAAAGACATAAATTATGATTGATTATAGGCAAGTTGTTTTTACTTCTGTGGCACTACTGCTCCTGCCGTGTGACACTGCCGCTAGGGTCTGCCCTGCCACGGGCATGTCCACCGGGTTGCGGAGTGGACGAGGCGGTCTCTAGCCACAGTGTGGACTGGCCGTGCAGGCTGGAGTCACAACCCTGAGCCAAGCAGGGACTGGGGGGTTCTCTGCTGAGGAGCCCATCCCCACTCCGCAGCGACATGCTACATTCCCTATGAGCTTGCCAGCCCACACACGCTCCAAAAAGCACAGCCGTCTTCTTCGTACGCGCAGAGCGAGATGACAGCGAGGAGAGACGCTTCCCAGCCGCTGAGCAGCTCTCGCCTCCAGGAGAGGAAGGGAGCGGCGGAAAAGGCGAAGAATAACCCCGACTGCTTTTATCCCTCCCCTCGACAGGAGCCGGAGAAAGTGCCGGCGTCCGCGGCGGGGATCCATGCCCATGTGGTGGGCGCTGTCGCTGGCTCCGGTGCTGCGGACGAGTCCTCTGATAGCGAGGCAGAGCAGGAAGGCCCCCAGAAACTCATCCGGAAAGTGTCCACCTCAGGACAGATCAGGAGCAAGGTAAGATTCCTCCCTCTCTGTTTCTCTTTTACTTAAGTTGATGTGTGGATTTGGGCTGTGTGTACTGGGTCTCTGGTAGTGGCTTGTGGATGGGCGAGTGGCCAAACATCCCCGCTGCTTGTTCCTGCTTCATTATAGTAGAAGACAGTATTTATCAGACAATCTGACCTACCTCGTGGCTGGGCCATTCATGTTACCTGTAGCTCCAACTCATGTGCAACAAGTGAGGCACTGAGGATACTCAGTATCAGGATTCTGCATTTTCATGTTATGCAAGACAGGACTGCAGGGCTCTTGCAGACTGAGGAACTGCCCACAACTTAGCTTTTTATATGTTGCTTGGAATTATATTCAAAACTGGCCTTTTATGCAAACGTGCAATAGCAAATCATTACAACTTCACAGGAAACACTAAAACTGTGTCACTGGATCTTAGTAGGTGCACCTCTTTCGTTTACTTCATTTTTCAGAGTGTATCTGTGGCCCCACTGGAAACTGACTGTTAACAGAGGTTGTGTGCTTTTCATTCCTTCCTGCACTGCACAATGTTATTTTGCCTTGTTTCATTCTAACCATCATAATAAAGTAAAACCATTTTTGATTTAAAAAGTATATGAATATGAATTTTCCCTGACTCTAGTTTGACATGACAGGATGTAAAATATACAGGCAAGGGAGATTCACATCAGCTTAGCAGACTGTTGTTACAAAGATCTGCTGCACGCCAGGTTTGATCAGAGGATGCTGTGATGATTCTGACGTCTGCTGCCTAAGCTTACCACCTACCTTTTACACTGTAAATGAGTGCCGTCCTCCCACACCAATGCATCCATTTAATTATTGACAGCTCTACTCCACACCACCTACATTATTCAGCATGGGGGTATATTTAGAAAATGTCTGGTCATATGCATATTCTCCCACCAGGTGACATGTTGCACGGCTACAACAGTATGTGCATTTTTAATGAAGCACTTGCTCATGTTTTTGTTACAACTATTAATAGTTTTGTCTATTAAGTGTGAAAAATCTAGCACAAATGCACACAACAAGTTCCTGGAATGCAAATGTGAAGAATTTAAATTTGTCTGATCAACAGTCAAAAACACAAAGGTTTTCAGCTTGTGAAACAGAAAAGTAATGAAATCTTCCTGTTTGAGTAGCTAAACAACCAAATGTTTGGCAGCTTAACTAATCAATGGTCAGTAATGGGGTATCAAAGTCAGGACAGCGGTTTTACAGCATTATTATGTTGTAACCAATCAGGTGGAGCTCTGAAGGGTGAGTGCAAACAGATCCTGCTGGTGCCTGTCCCTCATCAGCTGATGTTTGTTGAAGTTTGTTGGGTAGTTACTGTAAGTTGATTTTTCCACTGAGTCTTTACTCACCTGTCGCCTCTGAACATATGGCAGGTGTTTTTAATGTGGATGGAAGTTGGGTTTAAATGAGTCATGATGTACAGTACACACTGACTCCAGTAATGTTCAGTATGTTTACTCAAGAGATGTTAGTCATAAAAGCTGATAGATAGACCCGCTCTGTTCAGCTTAACAGGCTACATGTCACACTAGAATACGTTCATACTGTGGTAAAAAGCACTTCTTCTGCTGTGGCATCAGTGCGCCTAGCATGTCGACACTGTGGTGGTGTTGTCGTGTGGGTCTGGGGGTTGTCTCACACAGAGAGTTACTAATGGACCATGCAAGCACCGACTCCCTGAGTGTTCTTCCACTGGTTTGTTTGCTCAGCTCTGGACTGTGTGTATGTGTGTGCACATGCACGTGTACGCTTGCCCATCACATTGTTTATGTCCATCTCTCTTCATCCACTATCTCTCAGGCTGTGTGGTTGCCACAGACAACCGCATCTTTCACCCCTTATTGGCTGACTCCATGGTGATGCTGCCTGTAAGACACGCAGCAGGTCTCATCTATTTTCTCCTCAGAAGAGCCCTTCCTTGTTTCAATTTAGTTTCAGTTTCAGGGGGAGAAAAATGTAGAAATACATCGGTAAATCAAAGCAGATGAGGAGCGAGAAGGAAAAGCCAGCAGGTTTGCAGAAATGTCCAACTGAACAACTAACTTAACCCAGCATGGAAGCTTTAAAATTCCTTTTTTCATTGAACACATGAAATGAAAGAGCAGGGGCTGGTCATTCGTCATGAAAGTGGGCAGAGTTATCCAAACTATTTAATAACATCTCATAAAAATTCTTGAAATTGCTTCTTTGCAAAAACTACATTTCATGTCAAATCAGATTTTGACACTGAGTGCACCGAGGCCCTTGACTCCGAACACAGGTGGATTGTAGCTCTGTCTGTCTCTGGCAGCCACAGTACATGATGCCGCTGAAGATATTACTTTTCATTTTATCTTCCTGATGTCAACTATTGTTGATAGCCACTTATAAACCCATCATGGCGAATCGATATATTGGCCGCTGTGAGTAGTTGTTGTTGAATCATATCATTTAGCCCAGCCTGTTGTGCTGAGGTCTCTCTTGTCAGATCGTAATGGGATCTGACCACATAGAGGGAATGTGATACTCTGCTACACGGGCATCATCTCCTCCTTTCTGCTATAGTGAATGCTGTAGCTTGTGTTGTTAAATGCTCTAAACAATTTCTTTATACACACATAAAGTAAAATAGCTGGTGGAACTGGGCTGCATTTTGCTCAGATGTGTGATGTTGAATAACAGTCTTTCCATAGCCTCTTGTCTCCTGTCATCTCCACTCTCAGCCCCCTCTCTGTCTTTTCTGGGAGTGCTGTTGCAGCTGAAGTGAGCTTATACACTTGTGACTAATACAGTAGCTGTGTGATTGAAAGCAGAGCTAATGGCACGCTGGAGCCCGCTGCTGCTGCTGCTGCTGCTATACAGGCAACCGGGATAGCTCTGTGAGCCTGACATGGAGTAATCCACATCAGATGGATGCTGAGTTAGGTGGGGTTGGGATGAGGCGCTGTAGAGAATGTCCGTCTTCGGTTCACGTTTCCAATGCTTTGGAAGAGGCAGAACATTGTGACTTACATTTATTGGAAGTAAGGCTGACTTTTTGTCATTTGATGGTTATCTACTTGTTGATTTGTGCCTATTTAATTTACCTTGCCTTTGAGAATATTTCCATATGGAAGACACAGAAATAGCTTCAGAAGGAGAAACATGTACCCAAAAGTTTCCTCAAAGCTTTGTGGCTTGTGCCCCTTCAGATGTCTTGTATTTCCTGTTGAGAAAGCACAAACACAGATTTTTTTTTCTCTTCTGAAATTTGCTGTGAGCTTGTACTTGAACAGGAAATTTGTCACTTGATTTTACATTTAAAAGTTCCATTTCAATTTGAGTGATGTGATGATGAGAAAAAGTGACCATAGTTCAGTGCAGCACTAAAGCAACGTAAAGTTGAGTCATTTTTTCTCCAAAGCTGTGGCTGAACATAAATGAGCTAACTGTGCGTTAATTGCTGGCCTCAACAACATCACTTAGCATCCCTTGGAGCCGTTTGACACATGTAGAACTGCCCATATGTGTGGTCCAGTTGCACAAAGGAGATCGCAGACAGGGGAATTACCCCTTCCCAACTACTGAATTGTAATTTTTCTGTCACTGTGGTGAAATTTTAGCATGTGGTGGGAGTTGGAGGAGGAAGGGTTCAGAGTTACAATTACACCCAACAGAGAGGACGGTATGCCTCAACAGCTACAGGAAAGTGGTGGAGGTGTGGGGAACTGAGGGAGAACTGAGGAGAGAAGCTAGGAGATTCAGTGCTGGTCTTTAACAGACTCGATTGTTCTGGCTCCACAGGCACCTCAGTCTTACTCAGGAATGTGGTGGTGGTGTAACAAAGCCACCCTGCATGGAATAATTCCTAGGACAGTGGGCTTCTCTCACCGAGACTGAGGACAGATAAGTCTTCTTTATGGACTGGACAGTTATAGTCACCGCAAGTTAGTCTTTTCAGTCATGAGTTGAAATTGCCAGACAGGGATGGGTCTTCTCCTGGCAAGCTGAGAACATCTTCCCTGTTCACGTGTCACAAAATGATTTGGGTTTTTACTACTGCACTTTCAACCATGAATTCATTTAATCCCAAAACGTAACATGTGAAGCTAGTTGCGGAAATCACAATCTTAATATTAAGGAGGCAGTTAGCAACCCGGTGCCTCTCTAAGGCCTGACGTTTTAAAACTCTTTAACCTCTTTGCACTAGAACACTTATAAGACCATTAAGATAAGCAGAGAAGGAGGTGGAAGGTCAAGCATTTGTATCTGATTAATTAGAAAAAAACTTCAAAAAGGCCCAGAAGGAGACTGGTCGTTTGTTTAGGGCACAGTGCTCTGGAGCTGAGAGAGGCCATTCCATTAGTGTAAAAATGAGCCTATTATTGACTGTAGTCAGCCTTGTCTTAAGATGGTCAGGTCCTATGCCAACTGTTTGCCTGGGTATTGTCAAAGCCAGGACGTAGAGTAGGTCTGCTCTCCTCATTCAGCCTTCCAGGGAACTCCTGCTCTGCTCTTATCCACCAACCACAGCTGCTGGACTCATTTGAACTGCCTGTGTCTGTCCATTGTATAAGCATGTGTGTGTGTGTGTGTGTGTGTGTGTGTGTGTGTGTGTTAGGCCGCCAGTGGCCAGGCAGAGTGTGGGTGTAAGGTACACTGTGCTCAGGTTACTCATTTCTCTCTGGCACAGGACTTGCTCAGTGTCTCACAGTTTAGCAGAAGAGGAACAGAGGAAAGCACAGGACTATTTATAGATCACTTCTGGCCTACTTGGCAACAGGAAGGAGATGAAGACAAGGAAAGGAACTATGGAGGCCAAGGAGGGACAAAATAGAAAACATCCAACTAGATTAAAGTCACTTCTGCTGAAAAAATAATTCTACTTTGAGTTTGGTGGCTCAGAGTTCAAAAGTTTCTCTTCAGAGACAAAAACGTCGCCTGAAGGCGCAGTCATTAATTTTGTTATCAACTGATCTCGCTGATTTTCTCAATAATTTGTTTTGTCTATAAGATATCAGTGGTCGTTATCATACCCTGGAGCACCATCAAATGTCTGTTTTGTCCAAGCAGCCATACAAATCCCAAAGTATTTCATTTGCTATAATGTAAGAACAAGAAATTTTCACATTCGAGAACATGGAGGAAACTAATGTTTGACATTTTATCTTTAAAAATCTCTTGATTGCAATGATGTGATAAAATGATTTAAGTAATCGATCGACTAATCTTTGCAGCTCGAGCTGAAAAAACAAGTCAACTGGACTAGATTTCTAGGTCGAAGATGTTTCACCTCTCATCCAAGCGGCTTCATCGGTTCATCAGAACCAATGAAGCCTGGTTGGAGAAATCTAGTCCAGTTGATTTTTTCCAAGTTTTTTTCAGCTTACTATGACCTTGTCAGGTCCGCTCGGCGCGACCTGCCTCTCTTCTGCCTTTCTCTCTCTTGCTCACTCTTTTTGTGGGATAGGCGCCCCAGCTGCGTCGCTTTCTGTAACTAGTGACTTGTGGGTTGTTGCGCACAGCTGGGGCGCATTTCTGTAATACCTTCCTCCTTATTTAAACCTCTGGCAGACGCTCTGTCGTCACTGGAGCATTACACTATGTTAGACACAGACATGTTGAGGAGGGATTGACAGGTTGAGTGAACGGCGAGGTTTTAGTTTTTTTCTTGTTTTGTGTTAAATAGGGCCACTCATGTTGGCGATCTTCCCCCTGCTTTGTGCATCTGACGGCGATGCCGTGATTACCTCTGGTGAACTTTCCTAGCCTTGTGTATCTGACGGTGATTTTCCCAGCCATAGGTACCGGACGGCTAGCGCAACAGTGAACGCTACTCTAGCCCTGTCTTCTCGTTCCCGTGTCCCTCCCGTCATCTCATACGTCACCGTTCTCCTGTCTACTCGCCTGCCTTGTCCTAGTCCTCTACTCTCCTGTTTTCTGCAATCCTCCTATTCATCTGCTTGTCCTGGACTCCTTAGCCATCCCTGTCCTACCCTCCTACCCTGGTTATTGTGCTATACGTTGACTCAGTTTGTCTGTGTTCTTTAATAAATCACCTTTTTTCACTAGCACCTGGGTCTGCACTCTTGAGTCCCACCTCGGTCCCCCGCTCCCCCGGTGAGGGGGACTAAATCATAACAGACCTGGATGACTGAGAATCTGCACAGACATTTTGCAGCTTGAGTCTTTATTCCAAACAAGGTAAAAATCCATACTGAGGCTACTTGGTAGTGTCAGTACTACTACAGCTCTGATGTGTCCTCAGCCTACAGTACGCTGCAGTTACCCACTCAGTGTGTCTGTCAGTTGTGAGATGTTCACTAGGCATCTGTCACCACTGTGCTCCTGCTCTTCCAGCTGGCTCAGCCCTCCACACAGCTGACCATATACAGTACGCCGATATGCTCGTGATTGTGCATGTGTCAACCCTTAGGAGCACTTTGCCTCATGTGTCTTCAGAACAGCAGTTGTGTTCCAATGGGAATCTGCTGAGGATAACGTACTTCTAAACCTCCAGTATTCTCCTGCAGCCCATCTGACCTGAATGATATGTGGTAATAAATCATCCAATGATAGTGATGGTATCAGTATGACAATGGTTAACTGGGCAATTGAGGGGATATGCAAACCATTAACCCATGTTTTTAACATGTTGTTTCAACTTGGTCAGTTCCCCAATAATATGAAAATAGCAAAGGTTATTCCATTGTATAAATCTGGTGATAAGCACAGCTTCACAAATTATAGACCGGTTTCTCTGTTGTCACAGTTTTCAAAAATCTTGGAAAAACTCTTTAATAACAGATTAGACACATTTATTGATAGACATAAAATCCTCTCTGATTGCCAATATGGTTTTAGGTCAAACCGATCGACATCTCTGGCCATTACCGACCTGATGGAGGACATTACAAGTGCTATGGATGAGAAGAAATTCATGATGGGAATATTTATTGACCTAAAAAAAGCATATGACACAATCAATCATGAGTTATTAATGGACAAGTTAGAAAAATATGGGATCAGAGGAATGGTTCTGAAATGGATTAGAAGTTAT